GATGTCATGCGTGGCTTTGTTTTGTTTTCTTTTTGTTTTTTTTTTTTTTTTTTTTTTATGCTGTGATGTGAAAGTCCATGTCAGAGGTTTGCTTCTCACCTTGCTGTGAATTACTGTGTCTCCTCCTCTTCTTCCTCCTCTAAGGGTTGGGGTGTGTTTCTTGCAGGCAATGGAGTACCAGGGCTGGGCAGACACACTCTTCGTCATGCAGTTTACGCTGTCGTGTGTAATGGGGTAAGCAATGTACACTGCCACGGTGGGTGCTGCCTGCCTCCGAGGGCTGGGGCGCAGCCGTCAACCAGCAGCTGGGGTCAGGGGGGAGTGCCCAGCAGTAGTGTATTTTGGTGGTCTGTGCTGTTCTGGGTTAAAAAAAAAGTACATAAATCTTCAGCCCTGACAGGGACACCATTTCTGAGAGTTATGGCAGATGGAAGTTATTTCCCAGCCTGCTTCAGTGTGGGGTTAGCCAAAAAAGCGGTGGTGCAACTACCGCTCTAGAAAAGAGAGGGAGAGATGCAGAGATGAATGGCGATGCCCAAAGTGTGTCCTGGAGCCTGATGTCGGCCCTTTCTCCTGCAGGTTTATTTTGATGTACTCCACAGTTCTTTGCACTCAGTATAATTCTGCTCTTACAACTACAATAGTTGGCTGCATTAAGGTAAGTGGTTTCTCTGCTCCCAGGGCCGCCGTCAGGCGAGCGTTGCAGTAATCGTTGCTTGGGGCTCATATTCAACAGTGGCTTTAGCTGGTGGTGCGGGGGCTCATTGCGTGCTTGGGACGCGCCTGGCACCGCGGTGCTCTCCAACTCTGCGTGGCCTGAGTCATCTCGCGCCTCCCCACCGCCTGCCTGGGACGTGCGGCAGGGGCCGGCCTGCCTGCCTGCAGGAGTTATTCCAGCAAAAGCCATGAACAGCCTCGAGGCACCTGCAGCTTCCCTGTGCCTGCTCCGTGCCGCTCCAGCACCGTGTGTCCCCCGGCTCTGCCCGCACAGGCAGCGGTGTCTGCTCAGCAGCAGCACAGGAGGGGCTGGACAGAGGGGCTCGGGCTTTTGCTGTGCACCACATGGAGGAGGGGATGGCTCCAGGGGGTTTGTGGTTTGGTTTTTTTTGTTTGTTTGTTTGTTTCGCTGCTGTCAGAATCATAGAATCATTTAGGTTGGAAAAGACCTTTAAGATCATCAAGTCCAACTGTTAACCTAACCCTGCCAAGTCCGCCACTAAGCCATGTCCGTAAGCACCTCATCTGCCCGTCTCTTAAATACCTCCAGGGATGGGGACTCGACCACTTCCCTGGGACCACTTCCTTTGGCAGCCCGTTCCAATGCTTAACAGCCCTTTCAGTGAAAAAATGTTTCCTAATGTCCCACCTAAACTTCCCCTGGTGCAACTTGAGGCCATTTCCCCTCGTCCTATCGTCCTATCACCTGTTACCTGGGAGAAGAGACCAACACCCACCTCGCTACAGCCTCCTGTCAGGCAGTTGTAGAGGGCGATAAGGTCTCCCCTCAGCTTCCTTTTCTCAAGGCTAAACAACCCCAGTTCCCTCAGATGCTCCTCATAAGACTTGTGCTCCAGACCCTTCACCAGCTTCGTTGCTCTCCTCTGGACATGTCTGGAGTAGAAAGATACTCTGTGCATGTTTGTATGGCAGTCACAGCACGCAGCTGTATGTGGTGATGACTGAGGTCAGGGAATTTACCTTCCCCAGGGCTAATGATGTGCAGAATACCCAGAAACAGCGGCGGTCCTCTGGGTCACCTTGGCCCAATGAGCCCGTTGTGAAAGTAGGCAGTCGCTCCTGGGCGTTTTTCTGGCTTTAGTACGGGTCTTGAGGTGAGGGAGAGCCCGGTGGCTGCCCTGCCCTACAGCCCCAGCAATCACAGCCTCCATTCAGGAGCATTTCTCAGCAGCTCTAAAACCAACCACTTTGAATCTGGTGTTCTTGCTGCTTGCCTATTTATTTCACGCTCTCTGCATCCGGGGTTTCCCATCTCCACACTGCTTTACTGCAGAGCACATACACTTGTCTCAGGCTATGTAGAAACTTAAGCTGTCATTGCTAAAATTTTGTTCCTTTGCAGAATATTTTAATAACCTATATTGGGATGTTTTTTGGCGGAGACTATATTTTTACATGGACGAACTTCATTGGTTTAAATATCAGGTAAGAACCTCATGCATTTGCATTTTATATTTATAATTTGCAAGTGAAAATTGCCGTGAAACTGAAATGGTTTGACTGGCTCAACACTTGTTTCAACAAAAAGCCCTATGGATTGGTATTCGGGCTGCCGCAGAGGAGGCAGCGGGGCGCTGACCCACATCTTGCAGCCCCAGGCGAGCCACGTTCCGCCAGCAGCACCGCTTGGTCCCTGCTTACAGCTCGGCCCGTGGGGAGCTCCCAGACAGACTCGGGTTGTTGTAAAGCGAGGAGAACACACAAGCATGTTTTAGCAGGAAACTGAAGTGTTCTCAGAGCTGCATATCCAAACTGTGTATCTAAGATACAGAAAGAGATATTTTTTTTTTTTTTTTTGTTTATTTCACCTGATACTTCAGTACAGCTTTTGGAAGAGGCTCCTTTCTGGTCTGGGGCGTATTTCTGTATTATGAGAAGTCCCCCTTG